GTCCGTCGAGTCCCGGACTTTTCCAGTTCGGGGCTCTACGGACCGCCTCAGCTACGTCATCCGGCGTTATGATGACGGGGTCCATGGGCGTAATACTCGCACACTGACTCGCCACAACTTCCGTCCAAGGGCCCTCGCTGTGGTTTACGGGCTCTGACCACAGGCCACGCCAAAATGCGACAGTGTTAGCCTGATCCGGTCCTGGGCCCGCTCCACATACCTCTGGTCGCTCCAATGATTTGTAGAGCCTCTTCTGATCACTCTGGAAGAGACGATTCTGGTTGAACCGCCTTGACCTCTCGGTAAATCGGCGAATCCGCTTCCCCCAAGCGGCAATCTTTTGCTTCAGGTCGTCTATGCGCTCCATTAGTTTCTTCGTGATATCCGGCTGGGACAAACTGATATTTGTCCCAGCAAACGCCATTCTAACGGTGCGCACAACCCTCGGTCTATTATTACCCGACCTGAAGCTTATCAGTCTGCCGATAAGGGCCCTTGCCTTTGCGATACGGTCCTCAATTCTTTTTCTCCAGGCTGGGATGGCGCTACTTTGTTTAGTAGCGCGTCCAGCCATGGGAAGTTTGGCGCCAATAATACGGCAAGCTGCCACTGCGGCGCCAAAAAGAACTGAGTCCGTCTCGCAAAGGTCCCGGCTGGCTTCCAAATAGGTTACCAGCATTGGGTTAAGAGCCCTCACGACAGCCCGATTTCGCTTGCTTAGGGGTATGCGGGGAAGTCGCGGTCGATTTTCGAGAGGCATGCTGCGCGTTTCTAAAATCGCCTCTTCCAATATACTCCTCATTTGCTCTAGTTCGTGGGAGACCATTTCATCATCGTCTGAATCACCCACAGCTGGAAGATCCATGGCGGCTTCTACGCGTGGCAGCTGGTCTGTCGCCTGAGGAGCCTCATCCCCAGCCGTAGCTAATTCATTCGATGAGGAAATGGCCTCACGTCGTAGTCGTTCGAGCTCGGCATCATCGAATATTTTCGAGCGCATGATGTACCGAACTCGGTCTGCCAGGTTTTGTTCCGTGACGGGAATAGACGGCTCCAGCTCAGCAAAAAAGCAATGCATCCGAGCCCGATACGCTATCCCCGCAGTTTCTTCCCCTTTCGCCCTATAGTACGCCCGCATTGCGTTTGCGTTCATATCCCTTGTCCAACGCATGCGGCGCACTCCACCAGCGGCGGATGCCGCTTGCCGAGTCCGAGAGGACCCTGCCGACATCAAGCCGTCTGGTGGGGATGATGGATGCGGGGGCTGTTAGGTGATCTTGCAGCTCCTCGCGCTCGGCTGGCGGCCCACATGCTGCCGCGTCCAGCGCCAGCTCCAGACGCGCCCCGGCGACCCCCAGGCAGCGGCCCTATACGTTTTCCAATCTTATCCATCATCCATTTTTGGGCGCCAATTAGCGGGAGACGCCCAGGCCCGGCACCGTTTTATTGTATCATTGTACGGCCGTAAACACAAACGGGCCTTTGCACCCTGAGTACTGCCGAGGCACAGCGCTCACACCTCTTGGCAAGGCGCTGACTAACTGCACCGACGTAGCAGTTTTGTCACTTAACTGTTTCGTCAGCGGGCGATGGGGTCGTCACTTCCCTACGCCTTTTTCATTATTAGTATTATTATTATTTGTTTTTATTTCTCCCTCTGTATTGAGGGGTAGAAAACGGACACACGGGCCTTGACCAAGTGTGCACGCAGAAAAAAAGAAAGAATTACAATGATGACGGTGATGAGTTAAGAAATTTACGTGTGAGACGACAGGTGTTAAGAAGGACTGCTTTTTGTATAAGTGTAAGAGTGGATTTAGGCATTTGAAGCATGTTGAGGCTGGTTTGAAGGATCTTTGGAACTACACCAGTTGTAGATATGATGATAGGAATGACTTTTACGGAGTCTACTTGCCATTGTCTTTTTATTTCGATAGCCAGGTCAACATACTTAGTCATTTTTTCCGAATGTGTAGTAATGAGGTTGTGTGTGTTGCAAACTGCTATGTCTATTATAAAAACAGATTTTTTAATTTTGTCTAGTATTGTTATGTTCGGTCTATTGTAATGTATAGTCTTGTCTGTTATAATTGTCCTGTCCCAATATATTTTGACGGAATTACTTTCTAAAATAGTGCTGGGAATATATTTATAATAAGCGACCTTTTTTAAAATGAATGAATGTTTGTGGGCCAGGTTTTGGTGGGCAGTTGCAGCAACTTGGTCATGTCTATGTTTATAGTTTTTTAGTCAGTTTGAACTATAGATTTACATGCACCTGTAATATGTTGAATTGTTTCTGAGCTACTGTGACATCGTCTACATAAGTCAGTTGGAGGGTTGGGAATATGAATAATGTGTTTTTTGATGGTTACGAGTATCTATTCATGGTCCTGAATAGCAATTACAAAAGCCTCTGTCTCTGGGAAGAGTTCTCCGCGTCGGAGCCATTCGTTCGACGCTAGCCTGTCGACATGTGCTTGACCGAGATCGGCAAGGTGCCTACCATGCAGAGACTTTTGTGACCACAAATCTATTTTCTGCTGTTTACTTACTATTTTGAGCTGAAAATTATTATTATTATTTGGGGTATCTATATAGTTTTCTCATCTGGTTGGGTTATATAAATATATAATTATAAATTAAAATGAAACGATAAATATACATAAATATCAATAAAATAAAATAAATACAAAAATACATAAATAAATAAAAGCCCAACCAGATGGAAGCCCTTGGCAGGGAAGATCAAACGGCCGAGGGTTAGGAGGAAAGGGAAAGAAACCGGCGGACGATGCGGGCATTTGAGCCCGGAGCGGTCCATCACGGAGTCCCAGTCGCCTCAGATGATCCGAGAGGCTGACTGGGATTAGCCCATTCGCAGAGACGACTACAGGAATAATTTCGGCCGGCAGACCAGCCCACATATCGGTCACCTCGTGAGCCAGGTCCAGATATTTTGTTCGTTTATCTGTTTCGGCTTTCACGAGGTTCTGGTCATACGGAATGGTAATGTCGACCAAAAATATCCTTAACTGTGCCCGGTCCATCAGCACAATATCAGGCTTATTGGCAAGAATAGTCCTGTCTGTGATGATGGCCCGGTCCCAGTAGAGCCTGGCGCGGTCATTTTCGAGCACGGCTTCCGGCAAGTACTTGTAAGACGGCAATTTCCAATCCACGAGACCGTATTTCAGAGCGAGCTCCTGGTGTAGAATTCTGGCTACTAGGTTGTGCCTGTGCAAGTAATCAGAGTTAGAAAGCGCCGAACAACCGGAGATGACATGCCTAAGTAGCTCACCGGGATGGCGACTAGCTCGACAGACGTCGATGGTGCCATCCTTTAGAATGTATCTCCGATAGTTGTTGGTCTTAATAACCTGATCCTGTATTGCACAAACAAAACCCTCGGTTTCCCCAAAAAGGTCACCGAAACCTAGCCAGTTGAGGGAGGTGACTGTATCTACGAAGGGATCATGTAGAACCCTGTAGTACCTCCAGTGGAGCTCCTTCTCCTTCCATACGGTCTCCCGGTCGGAAATGCTTTGTACTGCCGGGTCTTGCCATTGCTCGTTGGCTAAGGATAGAGGAGTAAGTCCTTTATCACTAGAAATGACGTCATTATGCAATGGATCATCCGATCTCACCAGGAAGTAATTACGGAGGCTGCACACTTCGCGATTATGCATGGTGAGCGCGATCAGGAAGCCACGCCCACCATGCTTTCGCGCCAAGTACAGCCTCATTACCGACGATCTCGGATGATGCATCCTATGGAACGTCATGGTAGTGCGGACTTTTCTATCCAGGGCGTTAAGTTCGGTCTGAGTTCACCTGAGTATGCCAAAGGTATACATGAGGACAGGCTTGACCCAGCCGTTATATGCGTGTGCATTATTCACACCGGACAAAAGGCTGTTAAGCACTTTGGTCAAGCGTGCATAAAACACGTCGCAAACTGACTGTTTCATACCAGTCTCATCGATACCGATGTTTTATGACATACCCAGGTATCGGTATGTTTCAGCCTCGGAAAGGGTTATTAAGTTGACGGGCATAGATAAGTCTATGCCCTCTAGATAAGTCTATGCCCTCAGAGTTAGCAACCATACCCCTCTCAACATGGAGGACCGCACACTTATCCGTCCCCAGCTCCATTCCAATAGAATTGCTAAATTCACAAGTGGTGTTTAGCAATTCCATAAGATGGGAGCGACTGGAGGCGAATAATTTGAGGTCATCCATATAGAAAACGTGGGTCACTTTTGTCCCTCCTTTCCGTAGCTGAAATCCCCTCCCGGAGCCCTCCAGTAAGGTACTGAGAGGGTTCAAAGAGAGGCAGAACCAGATTGGACTCAGAAAGTTGCCCTGGAATATACCCCTTCTTATCCTTATGCGGCTTTCCGCAGCCGTCATCCGCTCGCCTAGATGACAGAGGATCGTACTCCACCGCCCCATACACTGCTCCAGGAAGTCTCTAACTGTACAGTCAATCTTGTACAGCTCGAGGACTCACCTCTTTAGCCATGTATGGGGCACCGAGTCGAACGCCTTTCTGTAGTCTATCCAGGCGGCAAAGAAGTTTCGACGGTTGCGTTTCACCACTTTGCCTATGATCGCGTCAATGAGGAGTGGTTCCTTAGTTCCACGACCACCGCCCCGACATCCATTTTGAGCGCGTGACATCACCTGGTTTAGCTCCAGGTGACGAGTGATTCTCGCGCTCAAAATGGATGTCAGTGTCTTATATATGGTGGGTAGACACGTAATGGGGCGGTATTTGCTCGGGTCTGTGGTATCCCGATCTTTAGGAACCAAGTGAGTGATTCCAGTAGTGAAGAGGCTCGGGAGTAACTTCTGGTCGAGAGCCTCTTGAAACTGTCGGGAGAGCACAGCGTGACACACTATGAACCTCTTCAGCCAGTAATGATGCAGCCCGTCGAGCCCCGGACTTTTCCAGTTCGGGGCCCTACGGACCGCCTCAGCCACGCCTTCTGGCGTTATGGTGATGGGGTCCATAGGCGTAACACTTGCACCCTGGCTCGCCACAACTTCCGTCCAAGGCCCTCGCTGTGGTTTATGGGCTCTGACCACAGGCCGCGCAAGAATGCTACAGTGTCGGTCTGATTCGGTGCTGGGCCCGTTCCACTTACCATTGGTCGCTCCAACGATTTATAGAGCCTCCTCTGATCACTCTGGAAGAGACGATTCTGGTTAAACCGTGTCGACCTCTCGGTATATCGCCGAATCCGCTTTCCCCAAGCAGCGATTCTCTGCTTCAGGTCGTCTATGCGCTCCGTCAGTTTTTGCATTATATCCGGCTGGGACAAACTGACATTTGTCCCAGCAAACGCCATCCTGATGGTGCGCACAATCCTTGGCCTGTTGTTGCCTGACCTGAAGCATATCAGTCTGCCGATTAGGACCCTAGCCTTTGCGATACGTTCTTCAATTCTTATTCTCCAGGCTGGGATAGCGCTACTTTGTCCAGTAGCGCGTCCAGCCGTGGAAAGTTTGGCGCCTATAATACGGCACACTGCCAGTGCGGCGCCAAAAAGAATTACGTCCGTCTCGCAAAGGTCCCGGCTGGCTTCCAAATAAGTCACCAGCATTGAGTTCAGAGCTCTCACGACAGCCCGATTCCGCTTGCTTAGAGCTATGCGGGGAAGTCGCGGTCGATTTTCGAGAGGCGTACTGCGCGTTTCCACAATCGCCTCTTCCAATGTACTCCTCATATGCTCTAATTCCAGTTCCTGGGCGACTGTTCCATCATCGTTTGAATCAACCACAACTGGGGTATTTACGGCGGCATTCACGTTTGAGGGGTGCTCTGCAATTTGTGGCGCCGCATCCTCAGCCGTAGCATTCATATACATCCGATGAGGGAACAGCATCACGTCGTGGTCGTTCGAGTTCGGCGACATCAAATATATTTGAGCGCGAGATATACCGAACCCGGTCTGCCAGGTTTTGCTCTGAGACGGTTAAAGATGGCTCCAGCTCAGCAAAAAGACGATGCATCTTAGCCCGATACGCCAAACCTCCAACTTCTCCCCCTTTCGCCCTAAAATATGCCCGCAATGCGTTAGTATTCATTTCGGTTGTCCATCGCATGCGGCGTACTCCACCAGAGGCGGGTGCCGATTGCTGGGCCCGCGAAGACCCTGCCGACACCAAGCCAGATGGTGGGGATGATGGATGCGAGGGGCTGATGGGTGGTCGTGCAGCACCTCTCGCTCGGCTGGCGGTTCGCATGCTGTCGCGTCCATCGCCAGCTCCAGACGCGCCCTGGCGACCTCCAGGCAGCGGCCCTTTGCGCGTATTTGCATATTCCATCATCCATAAAAATGGGCGTCATTTAACGGGAGACGCCCAGACCCGGCGCGGTTTTATGGTGGGGCCATGTGCACAAGCGGGCCTTTGCGCCTTTAATTTTTGCCGAGGCACGGCACTAACACCTCTTGATAAGGTGCTGACTGACTGCATTGACATAGTGGTTTTGTCACATAACCGTTACGTCAGCGGGCGATGGGGTCGTCAATTCCCTACGCCATTATTATTATCTGGGTATCTGTATAGTTTTCTCATTTGGTTGGATTCTATAAATATATAATTATAAATTAAAATTAAAAGATAAATATACATAAATATCAATAAAATAAAATAAATACAAAAAATACACAAATAAATAAAGTTCCAACCAGATTGAAGCCCTCGGCAGGGGAGACCAAACGGCCGAGGGTTATGGGGAAAGGGAAAGAAACAATACAAAAGTATCGAGGACCACTGCCTTCTGCATTTGAGCCCGGAGCAGTCCGTCACGGAGTCCCAGTCGCCTCAGATGACCCGAGAGGCTGACTGGGATTAGCCCATTCGCAGAGATCACTACAGGAATAATTTCGGTCGGCCAACCACCCCACATGTCGGTACCTCGTGACCCAGGTCCAGATATTTTGTTCGCTTATCTGTTTCGGCTTTCACGAGGTTCTCGTCATACGGAATGGTAATGTCGACCAAAAATATCCTTGACTGTGCCCGGTCCATTAGCACAATATCAGGTTTATTTGCAAGAATAGTCCTGTCTGTGATGATGGCCCGGTCGCAGTAGAGCCTGGCGCGGTCATTTTCGAGCACGGCTTCCGGCAAGTACTTGTAATACAGCAATTTCCGGTCCACGAGACCGTATTTCAGAGCGAGCTCCTGGTGTAGAATTCTGGCTACTAGGTTGTGCCTGTGCAAGTACTCAGAGTTAGAAAGCGCCGAACAACCGGAGATGACATGCCTAAGTGACTCACCGGGATGGCGACAAGCTCGACAGACGTCGATGGTGCCATACTTTAGGATGTATCTCCGATAGTTGTTGGTCTTAATAACCTGATCCTGTATTGCACAGACAAAACCCTCGGTTTCTCCGAAGAGGTCACCGAAACGTAGCCAGTTGAGGGAGGCGACTGTATCTACGAAGGGCTCATGTAGAGCCCTATAGTACCTCCCGTGGAGCTCCTTCTCCTTCCATACGGTCTCCTGGTCGAAAATGCTAAGCACTGCCGTGTCCTGCCATTGCTCGTTGGCCAAGGATAGAGGGGTGAGCCCTTTATCACTAGAAATAACGTCATTATAGAATGGATCATCCAATCTCGCCAGGAAGTAATGACGGAGGCTGCACACTTCACGATTATGCATAGTGAGCGCGCTCAGAAAGCCACGCCCACCATGCTTTCGCGGCAAGTACAGCCTGATTACCGACGATCTCGGATGATGCATCCTATGGGACGTCATGGTAGTGCGGACTTTTCTATCCAGGGCGTTAAGTTCAGTCTGAGTCCACCTGAGTATGCCAAAGGTATACATAAGGACAGGTATGACCCAACCGTTATATGCGTGTGTCTTATTCACACCGGACAAAATGCTATTAAGCACTTTGGTCAAGCGTGCATAAAACATGTCGCAAACTGACAGTTTCATACCAGCCTCATCGATACCGATGTTCTATGACATACCCAGGTATCGGTATGTTTCAGCCTCGGAAAGGGTCCTTAAGTTGACGGGCATAGATAAATCTATGCCCTCAGAGTTAGCAACCCTTCCCCTTTCAACATGGAGGACCGCACACTTATCCGTCCCCAGCTCCATTGCAATGGAACTTCTAAACTCACAAGTGATTTTTAGCAATACCATAAGATGGGAGCGACTGGAGGAGAATAACTTAAGGTCATCCACATAGAAAAAGGTGAGTAACATTTGTCCCTACTTTCCGTAGCTGAAATCCTCTCCCGGATCCCTCCAGTAAGGTACTGAGAGGGTTCAGGGAGAGGCAGAACCAGATTGGACTCAGACAATCACCCTGGAAGATACCCCTTCTTATCCTTATGTGGTTCTCCGCAGCCATCATCCGCTCTCCCAGATGACAAAGGATCGTACTCCACTGCCCCATACACTGCTCGAGGAAGTCTCTCACTGTACAGTCTATCTTATACAGCTCGAGGACTCTCTTTAGCCATGTATGGGGCACCGAGTCGAATGCCTTTCTGTAGTCTAACCAGGCGGCGGAGAAGTTCCGACGGTTGCGTTTCACCACTTTGCCAATGACCGCGTCAATGAGGAGTATTCCTTAGTTCCACGACCACCGCCCCGACATCCATTTTGAGCGCGTGACATCATCTGATTTAGCTCTAGGTGACGAGTGATTCTCGCGCTCAAAATGGATGTTAGTGTCTTATATATGGTGGGTAGACACGTTTTGGGGCGGTATTTGCTCGGGTCTGTGGTTACCTGGTCTTTAGGAACCAAATGAGTGATCCCAGTAGTGAAGAGGCTAGGGAGCGACTTCTGATTGATAGCCTCTTGAATCTGACGGGCGAGCACAGCGTGACACACCATGAACCCCTTCAGCCAGTAGTGATGCAGTCCGTCGAGTCCCGGACTTTTCCAGTTCGGGGCTCTACGGACCGCCTCAGCTACGTCATCCGGCGTTATGATGACGGGGTCCATGGGCGTAATACTCGCACACTGACTCGCCACAACTTCCGTCCAAGGGCCCTCGCTGTGGTTTACGGGCTCTGACCACAGGCCACGCCAAAATGCGACAGTGTTATCCTGGTCCGGTCCTGGGCCCGCTCCACAAACCTCTGGTCGCTCCAATGATTTGTAGAGCCTCTTCTGATCACTCTGGAAGAGACGATTCTGGTTGAACGGCCTTGACCTCTCGGTAAATCGGCGAATCCGCTTCCCCCAAGCGGCAATCTTTTGCTTCAGGTCGTCTATGCGCTCCGTTAGTTTCTGCATGATATCCGTCTGGAACAAACTTGTATTTGTCCCAGCAAACGCTATTCTAACGGTGCGCACAACCCTCGGTTTATTATTACCCGACCTGAAGCATATAGCTTATAGAGCCGTGGTAACTCAGTGGTTAACGCTCGCTGTAAATATAACAGAACGCGAGTAACCCGGGTTCGATCCCCGCCGGCACCAATGAAATTGTTAATTGCAATTTTAAGTGCTGATTTACCACGTGCTCGGCGGTGAAGGAAAACATCGTGAGGAAACCTGCATGTCTAAGGAATAAGAAAAAAAATATTTCGAAGACATGTGAAGTTCGTTAACACGCATTTGGGCAGCGCGGCGGACACTTCCTTGCCCTAAACCCTCTCAGAAATGAGGGGGAGGCCTGAGCCCAGCAGTGGGACGTATATAGGCTGTAACTTTAACTTTAACTTTTAACTGAAGCTTATCAGTCTGCCGATAAGGGCCTTGCCTTTGCGATACGGTCCTCAATTCTTTTTCTCCAGGCTGTGATGGCGCTACATTGTTTAGTAGCGCGTCCAGCCATGGGAAGTTTGGCGCCAATAATACGGCAAGCTGCTACTGCGGCGCCAAAAAGAACTGAGTCCGTTTCGCAAAGGTCCCGGCTGGCTTCCAAATAGGTTACCAGCATTGGGTTAAGAGCCCACACGACAGCCCGATTTCGTTTGCTTAGGGGTATGCGGGGAAGTCGCGGTCGATTTTCAAGAGGCATGCTGCGCGTTTCCAAAATCGCCTCTTCCAATATACTCCTCATTTGTCTAGTTCGTGGGAGACCATTTTATTATCGTCTGAATCAACCACAACTGGAAGATCCATGGCGACTTCTACGCGTGGCAGCTGGTCTGTCGCCTGAGGAGCCTCAACCCCAGCCGTAGCTAATTCATTAGATGAGGGAATGACCTCACGTCGTAGTCGTTCGAGCTCGGCATCATCGAATTATTATTAATTATTATTTGGGGTATCTATATAGTCTTCTCATCTGGTTGGGTTCTATAAATACGAGTATAATTATAAATGAAAATGAAAAGATAAATATACATAAATATCAATAACATAAAATAAATATAAAAGTACATAAATAAATAAAAGCCCAACCAGATGGAGGCCCTCGGCAGGGGAGACCAGACGGCCGAGGGTTAGGGGGAAAGGGAAAGAAACCGGCGGACGATGCGGGTGGTATCGAGGAGCACCGCCTTCTGCATTTGAGCCTCGAGCGGTCCGCCACGTAGTCCCAGCCGCCTCAGATGACCCGAGAGGCTGACTGGGATTAGCCCATTCGCAGAGACGACTACAGGAATAATTTCGGTCGGCAGACCACCCCACATGTCGGTCACATCGTGAGTCAGGTCCAGATATTTTGTTTGCTTATCTGTTTCGGCTTTCACAAGGTTCTCGTCATACGGAACGGTAATGTTCACCAAAAATATCCTTGACTGTGCCCGGTCCATCAGCACAATATCAGGCTTATTCGCAAGAATAGTCCTGTCTGTGATGATAGCCCGGTACCAATAGAGCCTGGCGTGATCATTTTCGAGCACGGCTTCCGGCAAGTACTTTTAATACGGCAATTTCTGATCCACGAGACCGTATTTCAGAGCGAGCTCCTGGTGTAGAATTCTGGCTACTAGGTTGTGCCTGTGCAAGTACTCAGAGTTAGAAAGCGCCGAACAACCGGAGATGACATGCCTAAGTAACTCAACGGGATGGCGACCAGCTCGATAGATGTCAACGGTGCCATCCTTTAGGATGTATCTCCGATAGTTGTTGGTCTTAATAACCTGATCCTGTATTGCACAGATAAAACCCTCGGTTTCCCCCGAAGAGATCACCAAAGCGTAGCCAGTGGAGGGAGGCTACTGTGTCTACGAAAGGCTCATGTAGAGCCTTGTAGAACCTCCTGTGGAGCTCCTTCTCCTTCCATACGGTCTCCCGGTCGGAAATGCTCTGTATTACCGGGTCTTACCATTGCTCGGTGGCTAAGGATAGAGGTGTTAGTCCTTTATCACAAGAAATGACGTCCTTATAGAATGGATCATCCGATCTCGCCAGGAAGTAATCACGGAGGCTGCACACTTCGCGATTATGCATGGTGAGTGCGCTCAAGAAGCCACGACCACCATGCTTCCGCGGCAAGTACAGCCTCATTACCGACGATCTCGGATGATGCATCCTATGGGACGTCATGGTAGTGCGGACTTTTCTATCCAGGGCGTTAAGTTCAGTCTGAGTCCACCTGAGTATGCCAAAGTTATACATGAGGACAGGCATGACCCAGCCGTTATATGCGTGTGCATTATTCACACCGGACAAAAGGCTGTTAAGCACTTTGGTCAAGCGTGCATAAAACACGTCGCAAACTGACTGTTTCATACCAGTCTCATCGATACCGATGTTTTGTGACATACCCAGGTATCGGTATGTTTCAGCCTCGGAAGGGGTTATTAAGTTGACGGGCATAGATAAGTCTATGCCCTCAGAGTTAGCAACCCTTCCCCTTTCAACATGGAGGACCGCACACTTATCCGTCCCAAGCTCCATTTCAATGGAATTGCTAAATTCACAAGCGATGTTTAGCAATTCAATAAGATAGGAGCAACTGGAGGCGAATAACTTGAGGTCATCCATATAGAAAAGGTGGGTCACTATTGTCCCTCCTTTCCGTAGCTGAAATCCCCTCCCGGAGCCCTCCAGTAAGGTACTGAGAGGGTTCAGGGAGAGGCAGAACCAGATTGGACTCAGACAATCGCCCTGGAAGTTACCCCTTCTTATCCTTATGTGGTTCTCCGCAGCCATCATCCGCTCGCCCAGATGACAAAGGATCGTACTCCACTACCCCATACACTGCTCGAGGAAGTCTCTAACTGTACAGTCTATCTTGTACAGCTCGAGGACTCTCTTTAGCCATGTATGGGGCACCGAGTCGAATGCCTTTCTGTAGTCAATCCAGGCGGCGGAGAAGTTCCGACGGTTGCGTTTCAACACTTTGCCAATGACCGCGTCAATGAGGAGTGGTTCCTTGGTTCCACGACCACCGCCCCGATATCCATTTTGAGCGCGCGACATCACCTGATTTGAGTCCAGGTGACAAGTGATTCTCGCGCTCAAAATGGATGTTAGTGTCTTGTATATGGTCGGTAGACACGTGATGGGGCGGTATTTGCTCGGGTCTGTGGTACCCTGGTCTTTAGGAACCAAATGAGTGATCCCAGTAGTGAAGAGGCTTGGGAGCCACTTCTGGTTGAGAGCCTCTTGAAACTGTCGGGCGAGCACAGAGTGACACACCATGAACCCCTTCAGCCAGTAGTGATGCAGCCCGTCAAGCCCCGGACTTTTCCAGTTCGGGGCCCTACGGACCGCCTCAGCTACGTCATCCGGCGTTATGATGACGGGGTCCATGGGCTTAATACCCGCACACTGACTCGCCACAACTTCCGTCCAAGGGCCCTCGCTGTGGTTTACGGGCTCTGACCACAGGCCGCGCCAGAATGCTAGAGTATCGGCCTGATTCGGTGCTGGACACGTTCCACTTACCATTGGTCGCTCCAATGATTCATAGAGCCTCTTCTGATCACTCTGGAAGAGAGAATTCTGGTTGAACCGTGTCGACCTCTCGGTATATCGCCGAATCCGCTTTCCCCAAGCAGCGATTCTCTGCTTCAGATCATCTATGCGCTCCGTCAGTTTTTGCGTTATATCCGGCTGGGACAAACTGACATTTGTCCCAGCAAACGCCATCCTGATGGTGCGCACAATTCTTGGCCTGTTGTTGCCTGATCTGAAGCATATCAGTCTGCCGATGAGAGCTCTAGCCTTTGCGATACGTTCCTCAATTCTTCTTCTCAATGCTGGGATAGCGCTACTATGGCTAGTAGCGCGTCCAGCCGTGGAAACCTTGGCGCCTATAATACGGCACACTGCCAGTGCGGCGCCAAAAAGAATGGAATCCGTCTCGCAAAGTTTCCGGCTGGCTTCCAAATAGGTCACCAGCATTGGGTTCAGAGCCCTCACGACAGCCCGATTCCGCTTGCTTAGGGCTATGCGGGGAAGTCGCGGTCGATTTTCGAGAGGCGTACTGCGCGTTTCCACAATCGCCTCTTCCAATGTACTCCTCATATGCTCTAATTCCAGTTCCTGGGCGACTGTTCCATCATCGTTTGAATCAACCACAACTGGGGTATTCACGGTGGCATCCACGTTTGCGGGTTGCTCTACCATTTGTGGCGCCGCATCCTCAGCCGTAGCATTCTCAGCCGACGAGGGAACAGCCTCACGTCGTAGCCGTTCGAGTTCGGCGACATCAAATATATTTGAGCGCAAGATATACCGAACTCGGTCTGCCAGGTTTTGCTCTGTGACGGTTAAAGATGGCTCCAGCTCAGCAAAAAGACGATGCATCCTAGCCCGATACGCCAAACATCCAGTTTCTTCCCCTTTTGCCCCAAAGTACGCCCGCAGTGCGTTTGCATTCATTGCTTATGACCAACGCATGCGACGTGCTCCACCAGCGGCGGGTGCCGCTTGCTGAGTCCGAGAAGACCCAGCCGACATCAAGCCTTCTGGTGGGGATGATGGATGCGGAGGGCTGCTAGGTGACCGTGCAGCTCCTCGCGCTCGGCTGGTGGCCCGAATGCTGCCGCGTCCAGCGCCAGGTCCAGACATGCCCCGGCGACCCCCAGGCAGCGGCCCTTTGCGCACTATCTTCTTATCCATCATCCATTATTTGGGCGTCCATTAACGGGAGACGCCCAGGCCCGGCACCGTTTCGTGTGTAGCCATAAGCACAAACGAGCCTCTGCACCCCTAAATTCTGCCGAGGCACGGCGCTCACACCTCTCGCAAGGCGCTGACTGACTGCGTTGACGTAGCAGTTTTGTCACTTAACTGTTACGTCAGCGGGCGATGGGGTCGTCACTTCCCTACGCCCTTCTGGTTGGATCTTTATTATTATTATTATTATGTGGGGTATCTATATAGTTTTCTCATCTGGTTGGGATGTATAAATATATAATTATAAACGAAAATGAAAAGATAAATATACATAAATATCAATAAAAAAATATATAAATAAATAAAAGCCCAACCAGATGGAAGCCCTCGGCAGGGGAGACCAAACGGCCAAGGGTTAGGGGGAAAGGGAAAGAAACCGGCGGACGATGCGGGCAGTATCAAGGAGCACCGCCTTCTGCATTTGAGCCCGGAGCGGTCCGTCACGGAGTCCCAGTCGCCTCAGATAACCAGAGAGGCTAACTGGGATTAGCCCATTCGCAGAGACGACTACAGGAATAATTTCGGCCGGCAGACCACCCAACATGTCGGTCACCTCGTGAGCCAGGTCCAGATATTTTGATTGCTTATCTGTTTCGTCTCTCACGAGGTTCTCGTCATACGGGATGGTAATATCGACCAAAAATATCCTTGACTGTGCCCGGTCCATCAGCACAATATCGGGCTTATTCGCACGAATAGTCCTGTCTGTGATGATGGCCCGGTAGTAGAGCCTGGCGCGGTCATTTTCGAGCACGGCTTCCGGCAAGTACTTGTAATACGGCAATTTCCGGTCCACGAGACCGTATTTCAGAGCGAGCTCCTGGTGTAGAATTCTGGCTACTAGGTTGTGCCTGTGCAAGTACTCAGAGTTAGAAAGCGCCGAACAACCGGAGATGACATGCCTGAGTGACTCCCGGGATGGCGACAAGCTCGACAGACGTCGACGGTGCCATCCTTTAGGATATATCTCCGATAGTTGTTTACCCGAAGAGATCACCGAAACGTAGCCAGTTGACGGAGGCGACTGTATCTACGAAGGGCTCATGTAGAGCCTTGTAGTACCTCCCGTGGAGCTCCTTCTCCTTCAATACGGTCTCCCGGTCGGAAATACTAAGCACTGCTGGAGTACTGCCATTGCTCATTGGTTAAGGATAGATGGGTAAGCCCCTTATCACTAGAAATGACGTCATTATAGAATGGATCATCCAATCTTGCCAAGAAGTATTGACGGAGACTGCACACTTCGCGATTATGCGTGGTGAGCGCGCTCAGAAAGCCACGCCCACCATACTTTCGCGGCAAGTACAGCCTCATTACCGACGATCTCGGATGATGCATCCTATGGGACGTCATGGTAGTGCGGACTTTTCTATCCAGGGCGTTAAGCTCAGTCTGAGTCCACCTGAGTATGCCAAAGTTATACATGAGGACAGGCATGACCCAGCAGTTATATGCGTGTGACTTATTCACACCGGACAAAAAGGCTGTTAAGCACTTTGGTCAAGCGTGCATAAAACACGTCGCAAACTGACTGTTTCATACCAGCCTCATCGATACCGATGTTCTGTGGCATACCCAGGTATCGGTATGTTTCAGCCTCGGAAAGGGTTCTTAAGTTGACGGGTATAGACAAGTCTATGCCCTACAACCCTTCCCCTTTCAACGTGGAAGACCGCACACTTATCTGTCCCCAGCTCCATTCCAATGGAACTGCTAAATTCACAAGTGATGTTTAGCAGTTCCATAAGATGGGAGCGACTGGAGGCGAATAACTTGAGGTCATCCATATAGAAAAAGGTGGGTCACTTTTCTCCCTCCTTTCCGTAGCTGAAATCCCCTCCCGGAGCCCTCCAGTAAGGTATTGAGAGGGTTAAGAGAGAGGCAGAACCAGATTGGACTCAGACAATCGCCCTGGAAGATACCCCTTCTTATCCTTATGTGGTTCTCCGCAGCCGTCATCCGCTCGCCCAGATGACAAAGG